CCTAAATCGGATTGTTTGATGCCAGTGGCTTTATCGTAATATCCTTTTATCCTTTCACTCTTTTTTGCCATCACCTGATTAGGCTAGCACCCCTTCGAAACTCAGATTTTCTTCTTTTAATATCCCTGCTGTCACGCAACCCACAAAAAGTGGCTAGCAACGGGCTTATCGTGATCGTCGAATTCTCTGCAGAGCTTCTTCCAATTTGAGAATGCTTCGATAATCCCCACTGCAGGTTCAGTCAGATACTCCCACTTCAATCTTCTTGCCCTTTCCTCGTCACCACTTTCCCATTCTGGAATGAAGAATGATTTTATGGAGACAACGCTTGAAGTTGTGTCTGGTCCAATCTCAGCGATGCTTTTCTGTATAAGGAGCTATCAGCTGTCCCTTCCTACAATATGACAAGCCAGGCATCAAAATAACCCACAGGAGCTCGACATTGGACGGGACTCAAACCCGCAATTGTGCTTTCCAGGCACCATACTCATATCCCTTACATGATGGGGTCTCGGTGATGTTGGCCTGCCGGGCTGCGGTGCCCGAAAAGCACAAGTACGGGCTCAAATCTTCGCCTATAACCTGCCAATCTTGTGAAGTCAATGACGCGTTTCATGAGCACTGAATATCGTCTAGGCCAACGACCCTATCCATTATCCTACATTATCCCATCCTACCCTATCCACTCCCGGACGACCTACTTAGAGCTCATGCCTACTTGAATGATCAATTTTAAATACTTGTCTATTAGAAGAATCAGAAAACCGACGAAAAGTTCCATCCTTTTGCCTCGCGATGCAAATCCACTCATGGATTTATACGGCACTCTCCAGAGTACATCAGATGGCATTTCATGGGATAATCGCTTAGTCATTCTTGATGCCTAGAAATCCATTAGTTTCGCTCAGCACCTCCTGCATTCGTGCTTTCTATTCGATAGCTGAATTGGCTTTCTTACTCATCCTTACTCTCAAGTTAAATGTAGCGTTCTTAGAAAACTCCTATCCTAGTCTAACATCGTAGTATTATTCGAGGAATGAGAGCAGTTCATTCGAAGGAGAGGCCGTGCTAGGAAGAGGTAGGTTTTGTTTCTTGTGGGAGGTTCACATCATCTATCACCTGTCGTCTCGGCTACCAGAAACTCCACTCGTCCCTACTCCCAGTTACTGTAGTCCCTCAAGTCCTCGGCACTCGAAGGACAAGATCATAACTTCTGGTTAGAGCGTTGATAAAGGAGCCTGACCTTGAGGTTGACAGCCATCGTAGTGTTCGTTTGATGTCCCGAGGGACTCGGTGTGTAGTCGGCTCTTTACGATAGACATTATAAACTCGCTTAACGGCCTAATCTTCGACTCTTTGGCGTGAGCGGCGGCGTCCACGACCTTCTCGTCGTCAAAATTTGACAAACTGGATTCCCTCTACACCTGCGTAGGACGAGAAACCCCTGGCATTGTCCTTCCAACGTCGAACTGAAAAGCATTGACCACAGGCTCGTTCTTAATAATTTCTAGATTCCTGAGCCGTAGGTTAGAGCAGAAAAGTCTGCGAATCGAAACGGTATAGGGGAGAACATCTCAGCAATGGGAACTTCAGTATGAACATCTTCGATTTCTTATTTACTCATCTATTTTTATCAACAAAAGACACGCACACACAGAGGACAAGCACCATTCACGAAAGAATGAGCCATACCTCCCGTAGTAGGAACAAGCTATGCAAATACGATGTTCACTTTTCACAAAGAATCTGAAAATTTGTATTGATGGGAGCTAGTTTGTTCTCGTGCATTTTAGGGGGTCTGGAGCTCAAAAAATGAAGGTAGACGCTAAGCACGAGGGTAGCAAATAGTTCTGAAATGGAAGAAATGGATGGTTGAATCAGATCTTGCTACCATCCGAACGAACATGCGTTGTCTCTATATTTTTCGATGATATTATGGGATTCTCTGTTGAGAAACCATACAGCAGGAGAAGCCCAGCGTATGTGCTCTGAGGCACGGTGTCGTTAACTTGATCGTTGATGTCTTTTCTACTTATTGGACCTTTTCTCTATATGGCTTCTACTGAAGGAGTTGTAGCTTGAGAATTCGTCTGACCAATGCTTACTGAACATTTTCTCTCCACCTCTTTGATCTGTAGCATTTGAAGACTGCTGTCCTACCGGGGATTGAAATTTTTTGAGTAATAAAATCAGAGGTTGGAGGGTAAATTTAATCCTTTTTCATGCTAATGGCCACTGGGAGCTCTCTTGAATACAGGCCAAGCGATAAGTTTGATAGTATCCAGGAACCATTACCTTCCCTATCAAATCACTCAGGTGGTGATGGCTATGATGTCTCATGAATATTGCACGATTGAATGTAGACTGGAGTAGTCTGTAAAAAAAACATCCGATCTTTCGTATTCTCGAGGTTTATGGTGAAAAATGCTTGTCTGATCTTTCGGGAATAATCGGCCCTAGTAGGATGGAAGCTTACTCGATCCCTGGGCGGTTACTATGCCGGGATTCGATAAGCCGCGCTGTGAAAATGGGGTGTGCTCCTCCTGTCGCTACGACACAACAGCCCTAATACCCCACTGATAAGGTCTTTACGGAGTTAGAGTGAAATTGTCGTACGGAGAAAAGCACTTTGAATTCCTTGCATTTGGATTGACAGTCTCGTTCGGCGTTCCCTTCTCAGGCAACTTTTTCTTCTCCGGAAAATCCCAACAATGATAGGATACCCGCCTTTCAAAGCTAAGACATCCAAGTCACAAGGAAGTGGACAGACGAGCGGAAACAATAAAAAGACAACGCAAGATGGATTTCTGAGCTCCGCTGATAGAACTCGTATAGCTTATTGGAAGAGCAGATTCACTAAGACGGATTAATCCTATAAGTAGTATGACGTGGCCCCATGGCTTAATCCAGGTGTGGACTATTCTTCACTGCCTGTCCTATGCTTTCGACACGTCAAGGTGCTTTACTGCCTTTTTCTGATATATAGCGATTAATCACACAAACTCGACTTGTTTCCGTTATTCCTGTACTCTTCTACTTTCCTTAGCTTCTCCATGGAGAATTCAATATTCACCCTGAAAAACGAAAATTCATTGAACTCATGGTTTCCCAGCGGATCCTGGTAACGATGCCAAATTCAATTTGCCGTTACTTCTGAAATTATTTATGAGTTCAAAAAACACGATTGACTAATTGCTCGCTCCTTTGCTACTTGGAAACGTAGATGCTGAGCCTCTTCTGTTTTTTTTTCGAATTTTTCAAATTTCAAGTTCAAAATCAAAATTTCAATTTCAATTGTGTCTCGTATGAGGATGTGAAGCCTTGGACATGATACGCAATGTGCTTCT